TCCGGGCCCCTCCGCGCCGCCCGCGACAGCATCGAGCTCCGGCGCGGCGCCTGCGTGCGCACCACCGGCGAGGAGCTGTGCAACGGCCACGGGCTCTGGGTGAAGCTGACCAAGGTGCGCTCTGGCCTGCTCGGGGCCCCTCCAAAAGACCCCCGGGGCCAGAGAAGCCCCTGACTGTTGTCCTTTCCTCCCCCATGCTGAGCTGGCATTGCGTTTGGTGCCCTTTGCCCTGGGCTGGGCAGGGCGGGCCGCTGGGCAGGCCCCGATCCCCTGACGGCTGTCCCCGTCTGGCGCGTGCCGGCAGGAGCAGCTGGCAGAGCACCTGGTCGACTGCGAGCTGGATGAAGGCTGGCTGCTTGTGTGCCGCCCGGCGGAAGGCGGGGCCCGCCTGGTACCCATCGACACTCCCGACCACCTGCAGCGGCAGCAGCAGCTCTTCGGCGTGGACTATCGGCCGGTGCTCAGGTTCTGCACTTGAAGGGGCGGGGCCTGCTGTCTGGTGGCCTAGCCAGGAGGGGTTGGAAACACTGCTGGCACAGCCTGGGGGTGGGTTATTGGAGCGGAGGCAGGATTAAGAGCAGGAAGGGGCGGGACATGAAAGGTGCTGGGGTAGGGCTTCTGGAGGGCTTCTGGAGAAGGCTCCGGGACCTAGAGATGGTGTCCGGCCGCTCCCTGACGCCTCCCCATCTCACTCCCTACTTTGTGCCCACAGATGGGAACAGGTAGTGGACCTGACATACTCGCATCGTCTGGGATCGAGGCCTCAGCCAGCGGAGGCATACACAGATGCTGTAGAAAGGCTGCTGTGAGTGCACTGGAATGGGATGGGGAGGAAGGAGCTCTGCATCTGGGCACAATCTAATCAGGGACTTGGGGTTGCTTAGCTACGTGCCCCCGACATGGACCTACGAGTGCGACGAGGACCTGATCCACTTCTTGTATGACCACCTGGGCAAGGAGGATGAGAATCTGGGTAGCGTGAAGCAGTATGTGGAGAGCATAGACGTTTCCTCCTACACGGTGGGTGCTGGGACTCCTCGCACCCCAGGCAAAATGTAGTCACACCCCTCAAGCCTAGATCCAGAAAGAACCCCCACCTCCAGGCCAGAACCAAACCAGGATCCCCACAGGCCATACTTAGTTCAGCTCCCCATCTTGGAACTCTATAAGAACCCCTAGAGAAGACCCCCTGCCCCTCACCTCGTTTCAGTTGCCCTTTTAGCCCAACTCAACTATGCTTTCTCTCTAGTGCTCCCTGGTCCAGGCCACATACCCAGAGCAGGGAGTGAGACTAACTGCTGACTCCACACCTCTGCCCCTCCCCAGGAGGAATTCAATGTGTCCTGCCTAACAGACAGCAATGCAGATACCTACTGGGAGAGTGATGGGTCCCAGTGCCAGCACTGGGTTCGGCTTACCATGAAGAAGGGCACCATTGTCAAGTGAGTAGGCTCTGGGCAGGACAGGGTGAGTGAACCAGGTGCCTGTGGATTTACAGAGACCCATGTTCACACTCTGACTCTTCAGGAAGCTGCTGCTCACAGTGGATACCACGGATGACAACTTTATGCCTAAGCGGGTGGTAGTCTATGGAGGCGAAGGGGACAACCTGAAGAAGCTGAGCGACGTGAGCATTGACGAGTGAGCAAGCCAGCCTGGGGTGGGCGATAGGGCGTGTTCCAAGCCTGACCTAGCTTGGAAGGCTAAGTCTGAGTGGGGCCCCAGTGATCTCTGAAGGCTTGAAGCAGGGGTAGCTGATGTGCCTCACATTCATCTCCTCAGGACCCTCATCGGGGATGTCTGTGTCCTGGAGGACATGACCATCCACCTCCCAATCATCGAGATCCGCATTGTCGAGTGCCGAGGTGAGGCCTAAGGCTGTAAGTGGGGAAAGAAAGGTCACCGTGTAGATGGGCGCAAGGAGACAGTGAGTGTGGAGAGAAGGAGATGGGTTTGATACTGGGGTGAAAGTGATGCTGAGTTAACTCCAGGATTTGAAGCTTTGGGGACCTGAGCCGGGTGGGAGATGCAAGTGTAAGCCTACCTTAAAACCATAGAGGTGGTTGGGCTCACCTGGAAGAGGAAATGAATTGGGACCCTCAGGCATCCCAACATTATAGTGGTAGACAGAAAACAGCAAAGACTATAAAAGACAGAATCAGATGATATAGAGGGATCCCAAAGGTCCCAGGTTTCTAGGTCTGAGGACCAAAGAGGCAGCAGGTGCAGTAAATGGCGTCATTCTGACTCTTTCCCCCAGATGACGGGATTGATGTTCGTCTTCGAGGGGTCAAGATCAAGTCATCCAGACAGCGGGAACTAGGGTTGAATGCAGACCTGTTCCAGCCGACCAGTCTGGTGCGATATCCACGCCTGGAAGGCACTGACCCAGAAGTACTGTACCGCAGAGCTGTCCTCCTGCAGAGGTGGCTGTGGTCCTAGGCCAGCAGGCCTTTTCCTTCTCCCAACCCTGGACCTTGTATGTCTGCATAGAGGAGGTCCCCAGGGTCTCATAGTATAAACTGCTCAAGGGTCAGAGCAACCCCTATACCTGCCTTTCCCCTGTCTCTATGTGTTGGGGAATCGGGGGTCTTACAACCATGCCAAACTCTTTAACTGCAATTATCTTTAACTGCCAGATTCATCAAGATCCTGGACAGTGTCCTACACCACCTGGTACCTTCCTGGGACCACACACTGGGCACCTTCAGTGAGATTAAGGTGAGCCTGGCCCACCCAGTGCTAGTCCTGTCAGTGGGTTCCCCCTTCTGCTCATGTAGTTGCTCACTCATTGGCAGAGAGCTCCTAAAACCTACTCTAGGGCAGGACCTTTGCTGGATCTGGGAACACAGGAAGGAAGCCAGAACAAAGGGTCAAAATGTAGTGTTTGGCGGATATTCCCTAGATGAGTGTGTGGAATAGCCAAGGGCTGGAGGAAGAGAGGTGACAACACCGGCAAGACAGGCGCAATGGGAGTTACCAGCAGCTCAAGATGACTTGAGAAAAGTGTGCAGGCAGGTGTGAGTATGATACAGGGATGAGGACGGGAGAGGGTAGGCAAGAAGAGGGCCCTGTGGGCCAGGCTATGAAGCAGGGACTTTGTCTCAGAGTAGTGGAGCTATTGTAAAGGTAAGCAAGGTAATGACAACAGTAGATTTTGTTTGTTTGTTTTAGAAAGCTCCCCCTGGTGGCTAGACTAAGGAAGGGATTTCAGACAAGTACCCGGAATGGTGGAGTTGAGTCCAGGCATAGAGGAAGGTTCCAGGGCCTGGAACTGCCCTGGAGGGAGGCTGACGGCCTTCTTCTGCTCTGATCATCTCTCCTAACCAGCAAGTAAAGCAGTTCCTACTGCTGTCGCGCCAACGGCCTAGCCTCGTGGCTCAGTGCCTGCGTGACTCGGAGAGTAGCAAGCCCAGCTTCATGCCACGCCTGTACATCAACCGCCGCCTTGCCATGGAACACCGTGCCTGCCCTTCTCGGGACCCTGCCTGCAAGAACGCAGTCTTCACCCAGGTGTGGACCACCTAGGGTTGGTCTGAGGGAGGGTCAGTAAAGGCCTAGGGAACCAGGTCAAGAGGGATTCAAGCAAGGTTTTGGGGCAAGAATTGGGCCAGGTCTTGACAGAGACTTCCCTACAACTTCCTCCCTGCCCTCAGGTTTACGAAGGCCTCAAGCCCTCTGACAAATATGAAAAGCCCCTGGACTACAGGTATGGCATGAGGGTGAGGGACTTACTCTGGGCACACGTGTGTACACATACACCCACACACTGCTCCTGGCACCCCTCTCCATCACTGCTTTGTAGCCCTTTTCCTGGTTGGTCTCTGGGCTGGAATAGTCCTGAGCCCTGGCCCAACGTGATGACAGATACACCCATAATTACAGGTGGCCCATGCGCTATGACCAGTGGTGGGAGTGTAAATTTATTGCAGAAGGCATCATTGACCAAGGTGAGGCCCTGAGGGATGATGACAAGGGGTCCTGCTTGCTGCCCTATTAGAGTGGTGGAGGCTTCTGGGGTCACTAGCTAGTGAAAATAAGGGACCTGTTTATTACCCCATTATGGAGGCTGGACTCGAGTATCCAGCTGAGGGCATCTGTCATTTCAGGGGGTGGTTTCCGCGACAGCCTGGCAGATATGTCAGAAGAACTGTGCCCTAGCTCAGCAGATACCCCTGTGCCTCTGCCCTTCTTTGTGCGCACAGCCAACCAGGTAATCTTCCACCCTCACCTCCCAAGTTGTCTCCATCTCTGCAAACCTCCCAGGTGCCAGACTGAGTTATAAAGGAACCAGAGGAGGGACCAAGTTGCCACAGGCAACCTCTGGGCAGACAGGGAGAGGAGCCATTTTACATTCAGAGGAGTCATTTAGGGCCCCTGTGGAAGATATCTAAGGAAGTCTTTAGGTAACTTTGGGAGTAAAGTGTATCCCATGCTGTGCTGATAGCTCTGCCTCTGGGGCAGGGCAATGGCACCGGTGAGGCCCGGGACATGTATGTGCCCAACCCCTCCTGCCGCGACTTTGCCAAGTATGAATGGATTGGACAGCTGATGGGGGCTGCCCTTCGGGGTAAGGAGTTCCTGGTGAGTAGCCTACTCTACACTCCATCAGATCAACCCTGGCCCCTGGAAGGAAGGCCCAGCCAAACCTGGGTAACTCAGGGTGAGAAGACAGTGAATGTTTATCACATAGGTCCTGGCTCTGCCTGGTTTTGTGTGGAAGCAGCTTTCTGGTGAAGAGGTGAGCTGGAGCAAGGACTTCCCGGCTGTGGACTCTGTGCTGGTGAGTAGGGCCTGGAAGCAGTGTTTCCTCTGCCGGCCCCTAAAGGTTGGTGCTCCCCAAGGCTGTCCACACTCAGGTTCCCTCTCCAATCCCACCTACCCTCATGGCTTCAACTACTGTCTCTATTCTGATGACCCCTAAAATCCTGACCTCAGCCCGGGCATGGTGGCTCATGCATATAATCCCAGCACTTGGGGAGGCCAAGGTGAGAGGATTGCCTGAGCCCACAGGTTCAAGAACAGCCTGGGCAACTTGGCGAGACCTCATCTCTACAATAAATAAAAAAAATTAGCCGGGTATGGTTGCACACACCTGTGGTTCCAGCTACTTGGAAGGCTGAGGTGGAAGGATCACCTGAGCCCAGCAGG